ACTAGATCATCCTCTGACACAACTAGACGGACAGTGTTCATTGAACAGTGTGCCGATACAGTGATGGCGACATCACCAAAGGTCTTCAAGTTGGATAGTCTTTCATATTGTTCTTTGTACCAGATTACAATAGGGAGATCTCCACAAGCCATTTTTCGTAGCTTTGTAACGTGTTCCAAGAGTGTTTATCTGGCACCTTCAAACTAGGAACGGGGAGAGTTTCCTGACTGGTTTTTCATGTGTGTCACTATGAATAACATGGTAGCGTGAGAAGTTGTTCTTGTTGAAGTGAGAAGGTTGAAAGGTTGCTTCTGTGCGCACTTTCTCCAGGAGTGATCAACGGAAAGTTGAAAGTTTTTTGCTATAAAATATGGATTGTGTTCGGTAGTGGTGGCAGCCACCCACCACCGAGCCCAACGAGGGAACGCTGCAAGACACGAAAAAATGGCTTGCATACGCCAGCTCTACACCGCCACTACAACCTGGTGTGACGCATTTCAAGGTGAGGTGAACACACGAGGTTAACCCTTGCCACCAGGAAGAATCGGAAGTGAACAGGAGAGAGGATTAGACAGGACAGATAGAAAGTGAGAAATAAAGATGAAGGTGTGGGGAAAGAGATAGGGAAAGGTGACTGCCAATATCCCCTGGGTGGGTCAGCCCAGGGGTGCCGTCTACGTGAAGCCGGGGCCAAAGGGGTGTGTTACCTCTGCCAGGGGGCCTTAAAGGTCCAACCACCCAGCGTCGGCACAATCCCCAAGATCCCCTTTTCCCCGGACATGGCTGCCACGCTTGGCTAGGCGTGAGAGGGAGTCGAACCCCCGTTCCCGCTGGCTCGGGTCCGTCGTTTCGCTACACACCAAACGCCTGCTTGCGCAGACGCCCCTATGGGTTAACGTTAAAGTCACCTCCATGATACTGTAACCCACAATGTAGACGTTCTACGAACTTGTTGTTTTTATACGTAGGCCGTTCCTTACAAATGCATCTGCCTTCGCTACTTTTCGGCCTAAATATGGATGTGATGCCGTCAAATGTAAGTCAAAATTGGAAGTTTGCGCTGCGCCTCGTGTTTTTTGTACCCGATTAAATTCGAGGCCCTTGTTTGAGAACCAAAAGCTTCGATGATTTCTATCTATCTATCTATCTATCTATCTATCTATCTATCTATCTATCTATCTATCTATTCATCTGCCCTCTACTTTGTGATCGCGTCTTCACAAGTGCGTCGGTGCATTTTCTGGCCATTTCCTTCTTTCTTTTTTCACTTCTCTCTGATCTCTTCTTTTTTCTCTGAGTACGGTAGTCAAATAGGCATTTGCCCGGTGAACATCCCCGCTTTCTTTTTTGTTTTATTCCTTCCTTTTTAAATGCGGAGCATTTCTTAGATGCAAAGTGTCACTCGTCGTCGACGTACACACCCCCACTCCGCATGCTCAGCTCGTGTACCCTTCCTTTCTCTCTCCCTTTCATCTCCTCTCCCTCCCCTCTGTCGCTTGATTTCATTTTTTGCTTTACTCGAGTAGATGCGATAGAAGCAACAGATGGCAACAGTACCTTCAGCCAGTACTGGGGCACAACCAAAACTTATCATCCCACCACTCGTTCAAGGCAACGTTAGTCACCCTCACCGCCTTCAGGGTCTACAACAGCAAGCAACGCAGAAGAAAAGACTGCGAAGAGACGAGTATACGACGCTGAACGCAAGCGTTTGAAGCGAGCTGCGGATCCTTCACTCGGGCGATGAGAAGGAGCTACGAAACGGCAACGCCGAGCTGCGGATTTCGAACTTCGTGCACGAGAAGCAGCGGCGAAACGTGACCAGCGAGCTTTAAGATCAGAGGTATGACAATTCACGAAATACCCCCCGCTCTGCAACGCATTTACTGGTGTTTCCCCCATGGGAAGATGCGAGCGACTTTTTCGGGGCGAAGCTTCTTATAGCGGCACCTGTTCGTCCCTCGCAGTCGTAGTAGTAGTCGAAGTGTGTAACCAGTCTGACATTTTCACCTCCAAGGTGGCGCCCGTGATAGCTTTCTTCTGTGCATTGTTGAACAATAAAAAATTCGCAGTGTGCGCGTAAACTAAAAGCCGAATTCTTCTGTCTCTCATTCTTCCTTAGCAGCCATTGGCACGTACATTGAGCACTATATGACAAGAAAGGGTTGCTACGTTATACTCACTGGGCATGACCTCCTCGGTTTTAGAAAGGTTTAGCGAGCGTTCGGTTGCAATGCCATGAAAACAGTGAACTAGTATATACCATGAACTCGAGGTGGTTAAAGGTGGGAAGTAGACACGAAGCGCAAGCCGTAAGAAAGTGTGCGCGTGCGACCTCTCGTTTAGTCCTTCGAATATCCGCTGGATGGCGGTGCATATGCGGAATATATGATGAAAAGATGCAAAATCGTGGTACTTGGAGTGTTCAATAGATGGACGAACTGACACACAGACAGATAAATGGACGGACTCACGAATGGCCGCACCAACGGATGGACGCCTGGAGGGACGCTGGGGCGGCTGCATGGACGAACGCAGGGACAGACGCACAGATGGACGTGCGGACGCACGAAGAGACGCACGCACGGACGGTCACACAGACGGACGCATGGACAGATGAATGCTTCGCCCCACTCTCCATCATTCACTCCGTGGATATGCTGCCTTTTTTTTCCTTCTGTGGGCCTCTTTTTGACTTTGTAGTAGAGCTTTCACGGATGATAGCGACGCTATGCACTCTGGGTGGGTCAACATTTAGTCAGCGGTAGCCAGAGCGGTGCAGTCGTTTTCGTGGCGTCGGAACTGCCTGGAGATGCAATGGTGCGCTGTGTAGCTGTAGGCTGCAGTATCTACAGCCAGAGCAACGTGAAGAAGCTAAAGACCTACACGAAAGACTACAGCTTCTTGAAAATCTCAAAAGAGCGCTCATGCGAGTGGAGGAAGTTGAAGGAGCTGTCGGAACGTCAGTAGCGTGAGTAGTCGTTGCGCATCACGTAGACGGGACATTCAAGAAGCTAACGCCGATACCAATTTCGTCTGTTCTCGCCTTTTCGTGTCAGGTACGTGACCACTTCTTGACAAATCAATGTACTATACCGGTTGTCATTTAATGTAAAGGTGTATTTTAAGAAGAAAGGGCCACACTTTGTAACACTGACAGGGTTAGCATGTGTTGGTGCTGAGAGAATTTCCAGTGCAGAAATATTTCGCGCTCGTCATGCAATTGCGTAAAACACCTCCCAGGTCGAGCGTCGCTCGTGTTTGACGACTGTGAAGCCGACTGGTGACTACAACCCTGACCAGTCTTTACTCAGTAAAACATCATGCCCTAACTCAGTCAGTATCGCTGTTCATATTTTATACTTAGAAATAGCGAGAGCCCTTCCCCTTGCACCAAGCTGCTCCAAAATCATAAAAATCATGATAATTGCGTTTACCTGCTCCAAAACATCCTCAAAAGCAAGAATTTTTACGCCAACCTTAGCGCCAACCTGAACGTCAGTGTGGAAAGATTATATATATGTGAGTGAGCGTGACAGAAAACGCAAGCTACAGTATTGCTCGGTGACGGTCATTTCAAAACACTCGCCACTAGCGCAACAAACCTTGCATGCACTGCGAAGGTGGCAGACGAGGTATGTAGAACGAATTGCATTCTCCGAGAGTATATCCACTTGCTTTGGGAAGTACGCCAAAACCGCCTAGACCTTCCGAGAATGCAGTGGTGTTCACATAGCAGAAACTACGCACGCAAGACACATTTTGAACGGATTGCTGCCTAAGAAAAACTTGTTTATCGTAGTAGACGGAGCATCATATTTCACGTGAAAGAACGCCTAAACACACAGTAGTCGAAATGCTCTCTCCGCAGCATTGTAAGGCGTCTTTGCGGTATGCGGACAGCTAATATGTAATTCTCGCCGATGATGCACATCACCAAAATAGAAATATCAGCCTGCCTCTGGCTCTTTGCATCATGTGTGCTACAGCGGAACCGAACGAAACCTCTTCATAAAAACTCAGACTTCTCATACCTATACGGAGCGCGGAATACCGATATTGATACGGCAGCCCCGTACGCTTTTACACGCGATGTGGGCGACTTTCACACAATGGAGGAGTGGCGGTGCTGCTGCCACTGTAGTGAACAAGATAGAGACAACACCCGTCTTTCGGGCAAGCTGTTCTATCTTGCCCTACTTGTGTTCTCAGATTTCGGTGCACATAAAAGAACCCCAGGTGGTCAAATTTCTGGAGCTCTCCACTACGGCGTCTCACATACATATATGGTGGTCCTGGGACGTTTTAAACCCCACATATAAATCAATCAATATCCTGCCCTACTTTGCCCTTCTCTTCCTCCGCGCGCTGCCCCAGAACCCCCCTGTCGCTCTCCATCACATTCTGCCACGCTGCAGACCTGACAAGAAAGCGAACGCAAGAGTTTCAGCAGAAGAAAATGCAGTCTCCCCAGGTAAGGCTGCGGCGCGATGGATAGCTGCGCTGAGCAGATCCAACCTCCAGAATCCACTGTGGGCCACACGGCAAACCCGCGAGGTGGCGAGGAGACAGGGTGCGGTCTTCCTTGGGGTGGCCTAGGCACAGGCCACGAATTAGCCAGAGTTATTAATAAAGCTGTTACCGCCACCACTACACTTCCTTTTGGCTGCAGCTGTTCGAGTCTTTTTCTATGAAACGTGACACGTGCCCGGCGAAGTTATTTCCTTTTTGCTTGCCCCGCAGCGGTGGTCTAGTGACTAGGGCACTCTGATGCTGACCCGCAGGGCACGGGATCGAATTCCGGCTGCGGCGGCTGCATTTCCGATGGAGGCAGAAATGTTGTGGGCCCGTGTACTCAGATTTGGGCGCACGTTAAAGAACCCTAAGTGGTCGAAATTCCTGGAGCCTTCCACTACAGCCTCTCACAATCATATGGTGGTTTTGGGACGTCAAACCCCACATATCAATCAATCAATTCTCTTTTAATTATCGAGACTGACCTTCAGGTCGTAAGTGCTCGCACGCCAAGTATTTGCTCAGACACGCTGAATGGACGCGTTCCGTAATTGTGAATGGTCCACTGATTTTTGGGAGTACCTTCTTTCCGGGCGCGCTGCCCCCACGTAGCACCCACACTTCATCACCGACCAGGAGCTGGCTTATGGCAACTGTCATATCAGCGCTTCTGATCTTCTTGCGCTTTAGTAGCTTTCTTTATCCCCGCAGTTCTGATCTTCTGACAGGCGGATTTGCGATCGCCGCAGCGAGTAACAAAGATGCAAGATCTAGATGGAGGACTGAATTCAACTGAAGCAGTTTTTCATAGACTATTTCATACGGCGCTTTGCCGGTGGTTGTCTGCAACGCCGTGTTTGCCGCAAAAGTGGCTGATGAGAGGTAGGCGTCTCAGTCGGCCTTCCACTTCTCTACTCTTGTAAATGAATTTAGTCGTGCCTAGATGCTCTGGCTGTTTCGCTCTAAATACCGCCTACTTGCGGATGAAACGCGGATAAGTAGTGGTGCTGAACACCCACCGTGCCAAGGTACTTTCTTAGTTGCTGGCTGCGGAACGTGGTAGCCCGATCGGATAATAACTTCTTAGGCAAGTTATGCCGCCATTGAAAGTTTGAAAGTTTATTTAACATATGACATGTATTTATTTATTACAAAGAGCACACTTTTGGGACCCAGTAGATTTGTTGAAGGCTCCCTGCTTATATACTTCATTTTCTGAAAAACCAATTCGAATCGGTGTTCGGGACAATCAATTCTATAAGTCGATATAAGCTATGGTACGGCTTCCGCTTCCACGCATTTCGACAGGTAGTCTAGTGCTGCAATGATGCAGCGGTTTCCAGCGTTGATGGTGGGTAGGGGCATAGGTTGGCAAAATCAGTCATGAGTCGACTCACTCGGACTTGCTCAGGCTAAGATTGAGCCGTGAGCCTGAGTCTGCGCGAGTTTGGGTGAGTTATATATTTTCGTGAGTCCGGGTGAGTCCAGTTGAAGAAAATTTTTGTGAGTGTTAGTCCGAGTGAGTTCGGCTCAAGAAAATTTTGGTGAGCTCGAGTTCCAGTGAGTGCAAAGCGTGACATATATTTGAGTGAGTTCCGCTTTCTTTTGCCCAACTGAGGTCCTATCTAACTATGTTCAGCATCACTAGAAGCCTTCCTCGATTCACACATATACTCACGTCTACTGACCCGTATTACAAAGCCATGTTATCAATACACCATTTTAATATTTATTGATCAGAGGCGGGAATTACACAGGTGGTTGCCTTGAACTATCCCTTACGATCTCTTATGGGAAAGCTATTGATGAATGTTATGCTACCATCTCTTCCAAGAAAAATGACTTTACTCGTTTGCAAGCACTCAGAAGTCGTTTTCGAAGCTACTATATCAAACGGTGACAATACGAGCACTGATTACGTTAGATATTCATGTTAAAGAGCATTGGCGCCATAGTCGAAGAAGCTAATTCAAAGATAACAGATTCAAGAGAGTCACTTAGACTGTGGTCGAGCCGTGAGTCTGAGTCTGAGTGAATCCAGATGAGTAGCGTTATGGTGAGTTCAGTCTGGGTGAGTTTGTTGAGGAAAAATTTTGTGAGGGTGAGTCCGAGTGAGTTCGGTTCAGGAAAATTTTCGTACGTCTGATTTCCGGAGAGTGTTTGCAAAGCTTGGAATACATTTCAAGAGTGAGTCTGAGTGAGCTCCACAAGTTTTGGTGACCTATGAGTAGGGGTCAAAATAAATCGATTTCAACTGCGTGGAAAATATTCTGAGGTATCAGAATAGGTGTCAGTAGTCGAAGCTGGTGCCCCACCAGTCGCTCCAGCTGCTGACAGACTTCGCAACTGGCGACGTAAGAAAGGACGTTACTTAGCATCTTCAGCCACCAGAAGCATTCCTGTACGTTGCGGTGCATGGATCGTTGGCCGGTGTGTCCGCCTTCCGGGTTGTCATAAATGTCTCGCAGTATCTGGCTGGAAAGTTGTAGGAACTAACAGAACGTAGCGCTCTCCTCAGTGATCTTTTTCCAGTGACGCCGGTACAGTGTGGCATTGCGCATCACAAACTTCGACTTCTTTTCCGTGGCAGTCATATAAGCTATGATTGATGTCAAGCCTTTGTCCTCCTGCTGAGCTTTGGAGAAGTCGAAGTGGTTGAACTGATATGATATTCCTTAGTTTCGGGTACGATGTCAAGAGGGTTCTGTGATAGGACATTGGCGACGTTATTTAGCCCTCCAGCACGATGTAGCACGTTGAAATCGTGCTCCTTCAGTGTGGTTATCCAGTGGACAAGCTTGTGTTTTAGTCACTGGTTGGAAAACATCCAGGCTATTGCAGCATTATCAGTCACCACCGTAAGTTTGCGCCTGAAAAGATAATGTTGGAATGGCTATTGTACTCATGCCATGTCTTGACGTAACCACGCAGTCGGTTTTTGGTAATCTATAATATTACATCATCAGGCGAAGAGCGCCAATGGACCAGAGAATTCTTCTTTTGTAGCCAAACAGCTGCTTCTTTTTCCTTTCCCTGAAATTCGGTAATTTTGGCGGCATACGTCGAAGGCAAGGTGGCGCGTGCCAAGGCTGCTGTAAAGGAGGCGGTGACGCTTACAAGCCACTTTAACAGTGTACGATGCCCCGCATAACCACCGCAAGGTCACTGGAGCTCGCAAAGAGTCATCATACTTGACTTCTGATGACGAGACCAACACTTATTGAGTTGCGGTACCAAAGTCAAACTTCGAGGAAGCTTGCACGGTGTCCCTTGGTGTTGAAAGGGTTTGTGAAGCTAACTCAGTTGATTCGCAGGCCTGAGATGCGACGACGGCTGCAGAGAGTGCGCTGGCTGTGCTACCAGCGGTAGTCAGGTAGGAAGCTGTAGCCGTGGTAGCCGAAGCAGCAGGACGCTGCAGAGCGATTCCATTTCGCAGGGCAGTTTCTTAATGCAGGTCGTCGCACGGAGGTTCGTTACATGGCTACGCCATTGTAGTGGACGAGAAAGAGACAACAACCGTGTTTCGGGCTGATTATGATAACTAAAACAGTCATTGGATCATTGGCATCTACGCACTCTGGGGGATCGGCCATGAGTCAGGCGGATCATATATACTGGATTTCAGGCAAGCTGTTCTATTCTACCCCACTTCGTCCTTCTCCTCCGCTCGCTGCCCAGAGCCCCCGTGTTGCGCTTAATTACACCACTTATAAGTGGATATCGCGTCCAGTAAAAACCTGACCATAAATTTCCGAGAGGTGGATCATTGAGCACAGATGCTGTAATCCCAACATTTTCTTGAATCGCTTGATCGACTCATTTGACATGAACATCGCTTTACACTCGCTTCTTTTTTCTCCGCCAGCGGCGTCGTGCTTCACATTACCACAGCAATGCGGTATCTTGGTGTCACATTTAACTCATGCCTTGACAAATTGCAGCTGATTTTCACCCATCATCATGCAGAAATCAAACTACTATACGCACTTTACACTTGGTTCCAGACTATATATTGTGAGGCATGTTTACATGCTGTTACGCCTGGGAGTCCACACCGAACGTAGCGCTCTTCTGGGTGATCTTTTTTCCAGTGACGCCAGTAAATTGTGGCATTGCGCGTCACAAAGTTCGAGTTCTTTTCCGTGGCAGTGATATAAGCTATGATTGATGTCAAGTCTTTGTCCTCCTGTTGAGCTTTGGAGAAGTCGAGCTGGTTGAACTGATATGATATTCCCTAGTTTTGGGTACGATGTCAAGAGGCTTCGTGATAGGGCATCGGCGACGTTATTTAGCCCAGCCACCAGAAGCACTCCTGCACTTTGCGGTGCATGGATCGTTGGCTGGTGTGTCCGCCTTCCGGGGTGTCATAAATGTCTCGCAGTATCTGGCTGGAAAGTTGTAGGAACCAACAGAACGTAGCGCTCTTCTGGGTGATCTTTTTTCAAGTGACGCCAGTAAACTGGGGCATTGCGCGTCACAAAGTTCGAGTTCTTTTCCGTGGCAGTGATATAAGCTATGATTGATGTCAAGTCTTTGTCCTCCAGTTGAGCTTTGGAGAAGTCGAGCTGGTTGAACTGATATGATATTCCCTAGTTTTGGGTACGATGTCAAGAGGCTTCGTGATAGGGCATCGGCGACGTTATTTAGCCCAGCCACCAGAAGCATTCCTGTACTTTGCGGTGCATGGATCGTGGGCTGGTGTGTCCGCCTTCCGGGGTGTCATAAATGTCTCGCAGTATCTGGCTGGAAAGTTGTAGGAACCAACAGAACGTAGCGCTCTTCTGGGTGATCTTTTTTCAAGTGACGCCAGTAAATTGGGGCATTGCGCGTCACAAGTTCGAGTTCTTTTCCGTGGCAGTGATATAAGCTATGATTGATGTCAAGTCTTTGTCCTCCAGTTGAGCTTTGGAGAAGTCGAGCTGGTTGAACTGATATGATATTCCCTAGTTTTGGGTACGTTGTCAAGAGGCTTCGTGATAGGGCATCGGCGACGTTATTTAGCCCAGCCACCAGAAGCATTCCTGTACTTTGCGGTGCATGGATCGTGGGCTGGTGTGTCCGCCTTCCGGGGTGTCATAAATGTCTCGCAGTATCTGGCTGGAAAGCTGTAGGAACCAACAGAACGTAGCGCTCTTCTGGGTGATCTTTTTTCAAGTGACGCCAGTAAATTGGGGCATTGCGCGTCACAAAGTTCGAGTTCTTTTCCGTGGCAGTGATATAAGCTATGATTGATGTCAAGTCTTTGTCCTCCAGTTGAGCTTTGGAGAAGTCGAGCTGGTTGAACTGATATGATATTCCCTAGTTTTGGGTACGATGTCAAGAGGCTTCCGTGATAGGGCATCGGCGACGTTATTTAGCTCTCCGGCACAATGTAGCGCGTTGAAATCGTACTCTTGCAGCGTGGTTATCCAGCGGGAACGCTTGTGTTTTAGTTACTGGTTGGAAAACATCCAGGCTATTGCAGTCAGCCACCACCGTAAATTTGCGCCTGAAAAGATAATGTTAAAATGGCTATTGTACTCATGCCATGTCTTGATGTAACCACGCAGTCGGCTTTCGGTAATCGATCATCAGGCCAAGTGTGCCAACGGACCAGTTATTTTTTTTTTCTTTTGCAGCCAAACAACTGCTTCTTTCTCATTCCCTTGAATTTTGGTAAT